TATAGGATCCTAGAACGAATAGGCCGGAAGGGACCCCAGAGGTCATCTAATCCAACCACCTTCGCCAGGGCAAGAAACCATTGTATAGAATTCTAGAACGGAAAAGCTGGAAGTGACCTTAGAGGTCATCTAGTCCAACCCTGTGACCAGGGCAGGAAGTCATTGTGTATAGTCCTAGAACAGAAAAGGACCTCTTGAGGGCATCTAATCCAAACCCACCCACCCCCCGGCCACAGCAGGGATCTATAGAATCCTAGAACAGAAAGACCAGGAGGGACCCTAGAGGTCATCTAGCCCAACCACCTAGCCAGGGCGGGAATCCAGGACATAGAATCCTAGAACAGAAAAGCTGGAAATCACCTTAGAGGTCATCTAGTAGTCCAACCCCCTGACTAGGGCAGGAATTCAATGGGATAGGATCCTAGTACAGGATGATCCTGGAAAGAACTCTAAGAGGTCATCTAGTCCACACACACCCTCATCCAGGGCAGGAATCCTCATCTCCCCTGAATTTGTGTGTGTGTGTGTGTGTGTGTGTGTGTGTGTGTGTGTGTGTGTGTGTGTGATAGAGCCTGCCCCCCTCGCAAATGGGGGTCTTACCTGGGTAGAACAACACCAGGGCTTGCAGCAAGACGTACTCAGCTTCATGCAGCCTCAGTTTCCGCAAATTGGTATGGAATTTAAGCAGCGTGTCTAAATAAACCTGCTGAAGTCCAGCTTGGAGAAAAAGAAAAAAAAGGGTGGGGGGGTGGATCAGAGAGAGGTGTCACATTCTTAAAGCCAACCTGGTTTTCTATCCTGGCTTGGATAAAATAATACTTTGTTTGGCCACGGGAGGGTGCTTTCGCACAACCCTGGCAGTGTTAAAAATGGAGTCCGGAGGCCACTGCAATTGGACGCCCTCGTGAACCGCCCTCCCTTCCATAATCTCTTTTCCATGCTTGGCTTCATGGCTGTTTAATCTCTTCCCCCGAGATTAATTACCATTTGTTCAATCTGGGCTGGAGGAAAAACAAGCAAACAAACAAACAAACAAAAAACCACCGTCCAGATGTCCAGGATGGTTTATCCAGGGTCTTAATTAGTCAAATGCTTTTTAATATTAAGGACGAGGGGGGAGAATAAGAGGTGGCTGGGTGAAATGGACGGGACACCCCTGTAGTTAGGGCACCCCTGTAGCCCTCCAGGCGGTGGTTGAACTACAGTTCCCAGCAGCCTCGTTGGCAGTGAAGGCTCTTGGGAGTCGTAGTTCAATCGGTCCCCTTATCAATGCACAGCGCGGGAGCAGGAAATCAAATTTCACCCCTTTTTACAGGTCGCCCCAAAGGGCGATCCCCTGACCCCGGGACACTGCCACCGTCGTAAATACATTAAAAACCAGAATTTTAATCACATGGCAAAAATGGTCACTGCGAGAACTGGCCCTAAGTCACGTTCAGCGACGTAACTTGGAACAGTCACTAAGCGGACTGTCGTAAGCCGAGGACCACCTCTCAAGCTTTTCCTTCCACATCTACTGTATGTTTGATAGCACAAATTTGCCCATTAAATCTGTTCCGACCGGTTTGAGCGAACTCAAAGCAGGTTTCTCAATTTAATTAATTGAGAATTAATTTCTCAGTGGCCGGATGGGGGTAGAGGGGCTCTCCTAGCCTAGCCACCAATCATAGTTAGCTTGTTTTGCAGCTCAAAGGCTGTGTGTGCAACCTTTGGGGAACCACAAGCTAGCCAAGCCTCTTTTAATCACGGCGCCAGTCGGGGTGAGCCACATTCTATACTGCAGCGTATAAATTAATCATTGCTCTTGTTTTGGTCTGCAATCTGTACATTGCTTAATATACGGTATCATTCTGCATTACAGACACACACACACACCCCAAATTTAGAGATTAAACATTATGGAGGTATAGAACCGAGCGGGTGGCAGCAGCCCCAAAAATCGCAATATTTATAATCTGGGATCGCTGATGTATGTTTGGCTCGGAATGATGGCTCGGCCTTCGATCTGGGGACTGGAAAAACGGATCGATACGGTTTTATGCAAGCAAAGTTCCCCAGGTATTTAAAAAGGGGAGCAAATATTTTCTCGCAGATAATGAAATATGCATTCACGCTTGGCTGTTTGGTTTGTCTTTCCCGTCACCTGCTTGATGGGTCCGTTCTCTTTCTCGGAAAAAGAAATTAAGAATAGTTTTGCCAGCCCTATGTTATTGCATAGGGCCTGTTTCTCAGCCTCTGCAACTTTAAAAGGGATGGACTTCAACTCCCAGAATTCCCCAGCCAGCATGCTTTAATGTGGGTGGATTTAGACTCCCAGAATTCCCTAGCCAGCATGCTTTAATGTGGGTGGATTTAGACTCCCAGAATTCCCCAGCCAGCATGCTTTAATGTGGGTGGATTTAGACTCCCAGAATTCCCCAGCCAGCATGCTTTAATGTGGGTGGATTTAGACTCCCAGAATTCCCCAGCCAGCATGCTTTAAGAGGGGTGGACTTTAACTCCCAGAATTCCCTAGCATTCTGACATAAGGTGGACATAGAGGCAGCTCAGGACAGCTCCTCCCTGCACATGGAAGTGTCTGGTGCGATAAACAACGCTGTGAATTCACAAGAGGCACACAATGAGTTCTCTTCCCCCCCCCCCCACCACCACCCCTCCACCCCAACCTACCCAGGGCGCCATCTTGGATGGTGTAGCAATGTGGACCACATTTCCAAGCGTTCGTTTCCTCGTTGAAGACCATGTTGAACTGGATCTGGCAGATCTCCAGCGTGGCTCCTTTCAGAAGGGAGATCTGGTCATCCATGGGCAGATTTCTGAGTAGGAAGAAGGATCAAGAAAGATCAAGATTAGACAGAAGTTGGGTGATGCTCTTAAGAAGATCCAGCTGGACCTCATTGTAACTCGGCTTGATTTGTTCCACTTTTTGGTGAGTGGCTTTGTTTGAGAATAGAATAGAGTAGAGTAGAATAGAATAATAATAGGAATAGAATAGAATAGAATAATAATAGGAATAGAATAGAATAATAATAGGAATAGAATAGAATAGAATAATAATAGGAATAGAATAGAATAATAATAGGAATAGAATAGAATAGAATAGAATAGAATAGAATAGAATAGAATAGAATAGAATAGAATAGACAGAGTTGGAAGGGACCTTGGAGGTCTTCTAGTCCAACCCCCTGCTCAGGCAGGAAACCCTACACCATATCAGACAAATAGTTGTCCAATCTTTTCTTAAAAACGTCCTGTGTTGGAGCACCCACAACTTCTAGAGGCCAGCTGTTCCACTGATTAATTGCTCTCACTGTCAGGAAGTTTCTCCTTAGTTCTAGGTTGCTTCTCTCCTTGATGAGTTTCCATCCGTTGCTTCTTGTCCTGCCTTCAGGGGCTTTGGAGAATAGCTTGACTCCCTCTTCTTTGGGGCAGCCCCTGAGACGTGGGAACTCTGCTATCCTGTCTTCTCTTCATTAAACTAGACATGCCCAATTCCACCAACCATCCAGCAACGGATGGGGTCTGTTCTTGCCAGACTCCACCACAGGGAGGATCCGAAGCGAGCGAGACCCCCAGTCCGGGGAGGACGGAGAGGACCAAGAGGACAGGGGTCCGTCCCCCCCAACGCCCCTCACCTGAAAGCCGGGATGGCCTTGGCGAACTGGATGACCTGCTGGATCATGAAGGTGCTGAGGTCGGCAAACAAGGGCAGGAGGGAGAAGACATCTGGAAGGACCTCCTCCGAGTTGTCCTCGTGGGAGGGCAGAAGATACAGCGAAGAGAAAGCGCTTTCCGGAGAACCCTGAGCGTCCGGATTGTGGACGTGGAGACGGACCGGCGGCTGCAGAGAGAAGCCGGGTGAGATGCCTTCAACGGGGACGTTGCGGGCGACCCCCTTTTCCCAGGAGCGGGACGACCCCGTCCGGCATTACAGGCAGTCCTCGACTTAACCGTTCGTTTAGTGAGCGGTGGAAGTTACCCACGGCACTAAGGAAAGGGACTTAGGACCAGTTCTCACACTTACGACCGTTGCAGCATTCCCAGGGTCCTAGAATCAAAATTCAGACCCTTGGCAACTGGCATGTACCTCTGACGGTTGCAATGGCCCAGGGTCACGTGATCAAAATTCAGACCCTTGGCAACTGGCATGTACTTATGATGGTTTTAATGGCCCAGGGTCATGTGATCAAAATTCAGACGCTTGGCAACTGGCATGTACCTCTGACGGTTGCAATGGCCCAGGGTCATGTGATCAAAATTCAGACGCTTGGCAACTGGCGTGTACCTCTTGACGGTTGCAATAGCCCAGGGTCATCTGATTCCCTTTGGCTCCCTTCTGACCAGCCAAGTGAACGGGAAAGCCAGTCTCACTTAACAACCTTCTTGGCTGCCTTAACAACTGCAGCGATTCGCTTAACGACCGTGGGCAGTAAAGTTGTAAAAGGGGGCACAAAATCA